CTGGGGAGGGAGAGAAGAAACAGGTTTCCCACGGATGCTGAGCAGGAGCAGGGAGGCTTCCCTGCCCGGCGGGCTCGGGAGCAGCCAGCCCGACGCCGAGGCTGCCCCAGCCCGGGCGCATCGCGGCCATCTCACCTTGCATACGGATTCCTAGGCATGCCCAAGCCGGCCTCTAGCAACTGCACTGCTGCTTGGTCTGCACCTGAGCTCCCCGCGGCTGCCTCAGCTGGCGCAAGGAGGCATCTCCGTACTGGATCCCTGAGCCCATCCTCTCCGGGTCAAGCTCACCTGTGCCGGGGGAAGGAGAGTCACTCCGCAGGGGAAAAGCGGAGCAAGAGCCTTTCCCAGGAATGCACCTCACTTGCTGGTTTCAAGAACGTGAGGTTTTTGATGGAAAACACAGGAGGTGAAGAGAGGCAATCCCTGTGCTTGGATTCAAACCTCACTGCTACTAAACTCCTCTCCCTCCTCCCAGCCCTTAGAAACCCAAGTCAAAGAGCCAAGTGCCATACCTGATTCAATTTTGTTTAATATGGTCCTTGCACATTTTAAGAAGGCTTCTTCTACATTCTCTCCCGTCAGGGCACTGGTCTCCAGGAACATGAGTTCTGAGGCAGTGAAACATGCTGGTTATTTCAACAGCAATTACCAGTGGTGAACCGCTGCCCAGGAACACAGTCACCCCACTGACGGGCAAAACACAAGGCAGGCCCAGCACCAGAGCCTGAAAGCAGCACAGTTCTTCCCATCTCCCTGGATCTGATCATCTCCCTGCAGCCAAAACCCACATCAGATCATCTCGCTGCCACCAAAATCCAGGATCACACAGCAACATGCGAATGCACCTGCGCTGCTGCTCCTGCACAGCTCCGGGAGGGGAGCTCTGCAAGCCAGGGGACACCCCACAGCCTCGGGGGAACAGCCCAGAGCCCCCGCCTATCCTCAGGACACTGCCGGCACATCGGGATGCCCCGATGGCCCCACAACCTGGCCGACGGGCGCGCTTTTGTCACCGCCCCCCACCCCCGCGCTCCCAGCCCTCACCGTTCTCCTGGGCGAAGCGCGAGGCCTCCAGGAACGTCACCTCCCGGTCAGCATCCAAGTCCTTCTTGTTCCCGCAGAGGATGATGACGATGTTGGGGCTGGCGAGAGTGCGTGCGTCCGTGAGCCAGTTGGTCAGCGCGTTGTAGGTCTCCCGGCTGGAAGGGGGGCAGAGGGGCACGCTGAGAGCTTTTCTCCCCAGTGCCAAGAGGGCCCACAGCTAATCCACGAGCTCCCTGCAGCCCCTCGGCTTGGGGGAAGACACGGAGGGAAATCAGGCACCTGGGAGCTGCTACCTACCTGGTAATGTCATACACAAGCAGCGCTCCAGCTGCACCGCGGTAGTAGCTTCTAGTCACCGACCTAAACAGAGAGAGAAGACAGAATGGGAGCGGCGGCACATCCAGGGGAGCCTGCATTTCCCCTCTCGGCCCTGTTCCTCGGGATTCAAGAAGAGCTGGGGTGCAGCCCAGCTCTTCAGACGACCCTCCTTCCCAGGCTGTGCTGCCAGAGAGAGTCAAGAAAGCAATGGGAAGTCAGGAAAAACTAATGGGACCACCCACTTCCCACCTCTGCGGAGGCTGCTCCCAGCTGGGGAGCCTGCTCCAAACGCCAACGTACAAGACAGTTCATATGGCTCCGCAACAGCAGGTGACTCGGGCAAGAGACAAAAAAAAAAAAAAAGGGCCCAAATCTAGGGAACCAGTGCTATCAGGGCTCTCAACTCAGGCAAGGCACTGACATTCTTTTTTAGGCCAAAAGCAATTGCTAGCTGAGACATTGGGCAAGTTCTGATACTTCCCAGCATTTCACATACTGCACGGTTTAGCCAAGGGAGCTGCATTTCCAAAGGCATCCATGTTTCACCCACTTTGGAAAGGGCTTAAATGAGAAGGAAAAAACAAAACAAAACAAAAAAAAAACCCACAACCCAAAACCTAAAGGACTTTGAACATGACAAGTGCTTATGCATGATTTCAAAGCTAATCCATAGGCTCTGACACCACAATTCACTAAGAGGAAACATTTTCTTATACCTGAACCTTTCTTGCCCAGCTGTGTCCCAGATCTGCAGTTTCACTGTCTTCCCTCCTACGTTAACGACCTTGGAGCCAAACTCCACGCCAATCGTGTGATTCGAGTCCTGTTTGACTGCAGAACAAAGAGGTGGCTTGCAGAGACTGTGCTTGATGTTTTAGAAACTGGCAAAAGAAGCAGCGCTTCTCCCCACCACCTCAGCTTCGAGTCATTAAAGCACCAATGCACAAGATAGCTGCAGCTCCAGAAATGGCAATCTCAAATCATTTCATTCAGAGCAGACAAAGGGGCAAAAAAAAGAAGGGGAAATAAACGTATATATTCAGGCCAGAGAACATTAGCTCGAGAAAGGCACAGAGGAGATCTACAACAGAGCTGCCAACAGCCTTACCATCCCCAGCCAGCTCAGCCCTCCTGCTGTCCCTCATTCCCACCTGCAGCCCTCTGCCCGCACCCCTCAGTCCTGGCCTTCCCCTTCCCTTCCCACTACTGCAACCTCACCGAGCTCTGCCAACAGCAACAGCGCCCTGAAACCGCAGGGCATTCAAAAAAGGAAGTCGTGACTACGCGGCAAGGAAGCTACAAAGGTTTTGCATTAAGCGCAAAGTCCCTGAATTACTTCCAGCGCTGCGCAAGTCGCACCCGCGGAGGAGAAGCATCTCTAGTGCCACACGAGCACCGCCGCGCTGCGCGGCAACCTTGCGGAGATTAATGCTGGCAACCGGCCGGCCGCTAGCAGAAGTCTGCTCTGCCAAACCTGGTAGGTAACGGCAATGCCCGGGGCAGAGGGACGGTCGCTGTGTGCTGACGGTTTCAGTCCCTCGGGGCAAACACCTTTGTGCTCTGGCACAATTTGCCTATGCTGCCCAGATTGTTCACTGGCATAGGAAGTTCATTACAACGTGATTTTGTAATTGGCTGAAGAGAGGAAGCAAGGACCATGCCCACGCA